TATATATATTATTTTGTAAAAAGTTAAAATTATTTAATAAGTGATTTGTGGTGTTGTGTGGCATAGCCTCGTGCTATGGCGTTGGGGCGTTAAAAATTATTTCTTCGCTGCCGTAATATATTTGGGATATTGTCTATGCCGCCGTGGTAGATTTGGGGCATTGTGGATGCCGCCGTGGTAGATTTGGGGCATTGTGTGTGCTGTCGTGGACTCGTTAGGGTATTTGCTTAATTTCGTGCACTACCGTTAATGATAAGTCCTTAGTGTAGATTGTGTTGAGATATATATAGTATTGTTGAACAATTGTTTGACCTTATAAAGTAATTATATGGTGAAAGAATTTCTGTGTATATTATTTCTGTGCTCGTTGTCTGTTTGTATTTTCTAACACTTGTTCCAGGGGTATTCAAAGTGGCGGATCAAGGATCTTACTGGGTTATATTTATGTATAACTCACTCCTTACCTGCATGTTCATGCAGATACTGTTGCTGGGGACGAGGCTAGTGGCTAACGAGTTCGTTGAGTGGATTCTGTTGCTGAGGTGAGCTGCCGCATTATTCGTGGAGGCCGATATTTCAGCTCTACCTATCTTATGTTTATTATTTCTTTCGGATTTGCATGCCCGTCGGTTAAACTTCTATTACTCTGTTAGATACTCCATGGTCTTAGTATGGGATTTGGGTTAGAGATTCATTGTTTGAGTGCTCATTAGAAATTATAAATAAATTATAATTTTAGTTGGATAATTATTTCGTATTTAGTAATATTTAATGCGTTTGGACTTTTACATGTTTCTCTCAGTGCTTATATAAAAGGTTAAGAGTACAGGAATTGGTTTGCCTGGCGAGTAGTGTTAGCTGGGTGCCAGTCACATCTAGGGGGTAGTTTTGGACGTGACAGTTCGCGATGGTTAGGCCTGCTAAGGATTTGGGAGCAGAAGCTGGTTGTGATTCGCGAATGCGAGGGACTTGTCACGTTCGCAAAGAAGGGCGTCTGGGCAGATTATAACCTTGCTAGGTCAAGATTTTCTCATTTTCAACTCATTTCCCTCTTGCTTGGGCAATTTTCGGATGATTTGGAAGAGCCATTTTCATCATTAATCTCGAGGTAAGAGATTTCTACTCATTGTGAGTTGAATAAATGGATTATATGTGGATTTAAAACATGAAAAGTTATGGAAATTGTGGAATTTTGGTAGAAAACTAGAGTGTGATATTTTTGGATTTTGACCACGAAATTGGACATGGAATTAGGAATAAATTATATATTTAACTTCGTGGTGTTATGGGTAATGATTATCTTCAAGAAATTTCGAAATCCGGGAACGTGGGCTCGAGGGTTGATTTTGTTGACTTTTCGAGCAGAGTTGAGAATTGTTTTAAAATAATTAATTATGAGTGTTGGAGTATATTTTTATTGGTTTGCATGTTGATTGACTAGTTTCGGATCATTTGGCTTTAAATTGAGAAGTTAGAAAGGCATTGGAACCGGTTATTTGAACTTCAGAGCGAGGTAAGTCTCTTATCTAACTTTGTGAGGGAGAAACTATCCCGTATGTATTAAAATTATTATGTGCTGCTAGTTGTGGGTGCTACGTACGCACGAGCTGACGAGAGTCCGTACGTAACTAAAAGCATGTTTATGTCCGGGTATACTTATGACTTTATCATATAATATATGAATTATTTGAAGTCAATTTTCTAGCTTAATTAATTGAATTTATAATTAAAATTAATTTGGGAATATATTAGGCCGAGCTTTATCACCTTGAGTTATTTGGCGAGATATTTCATAAACGATAAAAGTCATGTTTACTTTGTGTTCCTGCACCTGTGTTGTAAGCACGTGGCTCGTAATTCGATAAGTTTATTCATTTCCTGTGGATCGGGCCGAACGCCTCGACAGTATATTGAGATGCATCTCTGGTTCGCGTCGGTCGACCCTCGGCAGTGTACACACCACTCTGGATCGGGGCGTACAACCTTGTCATAATCGTGCGTGATACCGCTAGCAGTTCGGATATTCATGAGATTCCCCCGTTATTTAGGCCTGACATTTATATGGTATTCCTTATCCGTTTGAGATTTGCACTTGATATTTTTGAATCTGTTGAGCTAGTAAATGAGATTTGAGAGATTTATATCGCCAAAAGAAATGTTGGAGGACTATGTGAGTTATAGTTTTACCTCATTATTATTGTTGTGCTTCATATATGTTTACGAATTATCATACTGATTTAATGGACCACTAGTAAGTGTCGATGTCAATCCCTCGTCACTACTTCTTCGGGGTTAGGCTAGATACTTACTGGGGGCGCATTGATTTACGTACTCATGCTATACTTTTGCACCAAATGTGCAGAATCTGACAGGTTCATTTGGTGGCCATCTTGGCGCGCATGCACAACTGCTGAGGGGACTTTATGGTGAGCTACTTTCTACGCTACGTACCGCAGCACACAGAGTCTCCATCGTATTACTTACTTTGTCCTGTCTAATTTTCATTCCAGACAGATGTTGTATTATTGTACTCCTTAGTAAATAATCATGCATTTGTGACACCGGATTTTGGGGTATCCTAGTTGATGTTTATGGATTTGCATATTATTATCACCTTTTATTTTTATGCCTTACGAATTATGCATGTACCCATGATTTTAAATGCGTAAATTTCTTTACTTAATAAAATTTGTGATTTTGAAAGTAATAAAGTGGACAACTTACGTGATAGTTCACTGTTGGCTTGCCTAACGACGAAGTTGGGTGCCATCACGACCTATAGTTGGTTTTATGTCGTGACAGCTTGGTATCAAAGTTTTAGGTTCACTTGGGTCTCAAGAGTCATGAGCGAGTCTAGTAGAGTCTTGCGGATCGGTACGTAGACGTCTGTACTTATCTTCGAGAGGCTACATTGTTGTTAGGAGCACTTTCCTTCTTGATTCCTCGTCGTGCGATCTGATTCCATTTAAGCTTATGCCTTCATTTTCTTCCTACTCATTCTTATGCGATGATGAGTGCTTGTTATCAATTGAGCATCGAGGAGTGGTAGTAGTACTGCAAATGTGGTGTAGGATATTTTTCCCTGCATATTCGGGCGGGCTATTATCGTCGTCTTGTGGAAGGGTGTTTACTTGTTTCAGCCCAATGTTAGTGTTTCCTACAGTTTCGTGGCTATGCACAGTGTATTATGAGATTCATGCGTTGTTATCGTGCAGTGTTGGTGTGAATGGTAGGTTGCTCATTTTTGTGTCGCGATAGTGAATTACTTGAAGGGAGGATTATTCGGGTCAGGGTTTAGAGGTTCGACATTTAATTTCGGCGAAGGAAAGGCAATTGGACTATGGATGTTCAGGCCTTGGTTGACAGAGTAGCGAGACTTGATATTTTCGAACGTGGTGAAAATTTCATTTGTAGTATGGTGTTGTCATCCTTGTTGGAATGCATTAAGGCCTATCGGTGTTAGGGTCTCCTGTGATTTGCCTTCGGGGCAGGGTGTTGTGGAGCGGTGCCTAAGCAACGGTTATTAGAGATGGCGGTGTATGGCAGCTTCAGAGTCAAATCGGTGCTTCTAATGTTGATGGCTCGAGGGAGATGAGCTTTATGGAGTCTCAGAGTTGGTGGCAATTTATCCGTGCGGGTGCTACAAAGATGGATTATGATTTGAGGCAGTATTTTGGCAACAAAGCAGGAGGAAGGACATGGTGGGAGGAGTCTCGCGGTGGTTGAAAACCTAGAAGGTCAAGTATGAACATCAAAGACCGAGCAGTTGCTTAAGGAGATGGTTTAACCAAAGTGGGAGTGTCAGAGTAGCGTATGAATTCTGTGGTAGGATAGCCACATGCTTTGAGAAAGTTTAGAGCAATTTGGGGATCTTGGTGGACAATAACTAAGTCTATGAATTTCATTTGGGATGGTGACTACTGTACTGAGGAAGTTTGAATATGACGAAAAGCAGTTTTCTTGGAATAGAGAGGGGTGTGAAAGATTGATTATCATTTTGGGATGCAACATGACTTCGAGTTTTGGAACATATAGTTGGACCTTCAGTTGATGCTAATGGGTAATGAATAGACTCTTACAACTGGTGGACGAGTATGGGCACAAGAGGGTTTACTGATTTCGTGGTAGTTGTAACTAGGGCAATGTCACTAGAAGATGTCGATATGGAATTACACAGGTGGTCTATCTCCTGTGAGCAGGCTAGCGTTTGCGTGATTTTTGATGAAGTTCTTACGAAGAGTTCTACTTTCTCCCCAGCGGGAGGCATGTACTGTGATGTGAGCTTGGATCGCTTGAAGAAGATGGTACGATTGTCTGAAGGTCGAATGTGCGATTGTGGTTGATAATTCGAAATGTTTATGAAAATTTTAACAAGAGATTACGAGAAATTTGGCGGGTTAACGGTGCGAGATCATGGTAATTGAGAAGGATGAGTCATTGCGGGTTCTAGATTTATGTGATTGTAGCTTAAAGCTAAGTGGGGGAGCCCACCATCTACATTTGGGTCACATGGTTGTGTGCCTTGGCAGTATCCGGTTATCGGTACATTGGTAGATTAGTTATGAATATGGAAAGAAAACATCAAGGCTAATTCAGGCAAAGAACTTGAAGAATGTGTGCTATATTTTGCCTTATCGATTCATGTGCAGATTTTGGGGTGACTCAGAGTTTATGCTTCTTGTGGATGTGATGTACAAGGAAACAAATTAATCAGATTGCTTCTTTGGAAGTGTTCATGTGCTAACGGAGCACCAGTGTTTGGTTATATACTCGGGACTAGGCCAGAGTGGGTGAATCTCAACAATGGTTCTAGTGGGTTCAAGGAGTAAAGTGCGGTGGATTTTCGTGTTCATCATGTGGCTAAGGAATTAGTTTTGCAGCAAAGTGTGAAAGATACTTAGAGTATTTCTATGAATGTCACCGAGTCTGCAGTGTGATGTTAAAGAGATGGAGGAAACAACTTCAGATTTGCAGGAGGTCTTTCAGAATGGGTGTATCAGTTGGAGATACTATTGAGTACATGAGGAGGGTATGAGATGGCTGATGGGTGTTGGGGTGATGTGGTCTCGTGATTTGGGATCACTCGGGATGAGTGTTGTTTGAGGTCCGTTATGTGTTTGAATCGAACTATTATTTCAAAGGTAAGTCAGGAGTAAGAAGTTGAGTCAATTAGTAATAGTTTGAATCAGCATGGTTGTGGAAATGATCAGTTCCTTCTATGTGTTAAGGCTATACATGTGATTTGTGGCTGTACGTGCGGGCATGACAACCACCGTAATTTGATTGATTTGGAGGTATTTGATTTTGATGGCCTTGTTATGCGTAAATGGATCCTAGAAGAGTTATCGCGATTTAGACCAAATACTTGAAGTTTGCATTTTCTATGGTTATGGGAAATTGGTTGTGTGTTGCAATTGTTCTTCTGAAATGAGTTAAATGAAAGGGTCTAGCCGATGAAGTGTTTATTCTATTGATGTTTCATTGGTTATGATGTAGTTCTTGTACTCTCGCGTAGCGGCATGGTAGGTGTAGTGAGCAGTATGGAAAATGGAAGTTGAGGATCAAGGATGCGGTTTGGTTTTGATGGGAATGCCACAAGCTCGGAGGAGCAGGGGAGGATTCCAGATGTTCAGAGCATGCTGGCGCTATTTTAGTGTCGGCTGAGAATGGTGTTTTGTGGATGAGGCGTTGTGTATTAAATTGCGGGTTTATGAAATGCATTACTGGAATTGTATGGTTGATAGCCATGGATGTGCTGATTTTGCTACCTGGGGCAGAAGGTTGTGGGAGTATATCCCACGGGAAGATTGTATAGGTGTGACGTGTTAGTCATTTGATTGTTAGAGATTGAAATCGTATATGGAGATTCTGGTATTGTCGCTAATGAGAGAGTTTATGCCTGGGAGACACTCTATTCCTTTGGTTGTGGACTGTGGGAGTGTCACGCCCCATCCTCGGGAAGCGTGACTGGCGCTCAACCGTGTGAACCCGGCCGAGCAAGCATGTTAGATACTTTCTACCCAATCAACCCATGATCAAGAAAAGACGTGATTTCATTAATTATACAGTAGGAATCTCATTCATACAATCCTAAATCATTTCATTAGTCATTGCGCCTTTAAGTCTCAAAATACACATTTCTTATAGTTCAAGTGGAACAAGTGATCAAACACAACATAACTTGTTTAACATTCCCAACACCCATATACAACCCACATAGTGTCTACAGAGCTTCTAAAGATACAAAAGAGAGTAAAGATGGAGCCGGCAACAAGGCCCCGTCTATACCTCAAAAAGGGACCATAATATAAACAAACGGTATAATACATGACCCATGAATGAAGACCAGGGATTTAGCATGTTTAGGGTAGTTTAGGCTTCTTTATGCCTTGTTTATTATGTACCCTTCATGGCACATGCTTTATTTAATTGCGTGACTACGTGGGCTTTATAATTATGTTAGAGATCATATCTAGGCTCATTGTTTCTAAATTGGACATGATAATGCATTCTTGATCTATTGAGTTGTTTGCTTTAGCCGTAATCATACTTCATTGTCATGAACATACATCCGCATATTTATTTCTATGTCTTTGTGCATCATACATATATCATATGATCTGAGTTAGCACAATGGTATTTTTCCGTGCGAATTGGTATAGTTATGATATTGTGAGATACTTTTGCACATTGAGACATATGAGCGGATTGATGACTAATTTCTAAGCTATTGAGTTTATTGTGGATCTGGTTGCATGTTGTGATGGTAGCGCTTAGATATGGATTCGTCCCTCCGTAATTAGGTAATCACCCATGTTACATTGGGCCCTGTGAGGGCAGGCACATAGAGTTGTGCTTAGTGAGGGACATTTATTCTAGGCACCCATATAGTGTTGAGTATGTGTGATTGTGAGGGGCACTTGTGCCAGGCACACAGGGTGTGCTGAGTATGTATGGATTATACATCGTGCCTTTATGTAATAGTATCATTTTACCTACTACTTCGTGTACACACTTATCTTATGTGTACTCGGTGAGAGGATTTAGCTTTGAGCATTATATCTGTGAATAATGCTTATTATCTTTCCCAACTGTGATTCTTATTACTGATATTCTATAAGGCCCCGTTAAAATTTCCTAATAATTTAAGATTTTAATGTGCGCCAGCGGAATTTGGGAATAATGTATTCGAGTATTAAAGGAGACCTATGGGATAGAGCCACATCATTTTGAAATGAAAATATATATTTAAGGTGTGTTGGAACGTACTAAGGAGTTTTGTGAATGGCAAGAATTTGTGTGGAACAAGTTGGATACATTAAGTGGAAAGGATGTCTCAATTAGCATCGGACCCAAATTCAAACAAATGTCGCTCCTAAAATATAAAGACTTAGGTGGTGATATACCTATCAAATTAAAGCCCTTTGAGTCTAGTTTCCAACACATAAACCGTTTGTCATTTGGATATGTATACAGAATGTTATGGCCATTTTACCAGACCTATGCCATATGCGCGCCCAGATGCACGACCGCACATATATAGGGGGTTTCTGCCTCGTGTGCGTGGCCAGTTATGCGGTCACTTGCCCAGGTGCGTCGCCG